TTATCTCCTCGTGGGAGTTGTTTCGCGATAATGTGGTAGCACGGATCAAGTAATCTCATCGTGGGAGTTGTCTCGTCGTGGGGTAATAGAGTTGATCGAGTTATCTCCTCGTGGGAGTTGTCTCGTGATAATGTAGTAGCACGGTGCTAATATTCTCCTCATGGGAGTTGTTATTTATCAACATTGTCAATGTTTTGACGCGTTGCTTGTATGTGTTTACATATAGCCTTGTGCGTGATGTACTTGAGGAGGGGATCAGGCTCTCAAGAGTTTTTTATGGGGATCGTGCCCCTTGTTAGACCTCGTGGGTCGTAAGTATGATTGGACCGTGGCCACGTTTTAATGAAGGACCCATCGAAAACAAGTAGATAAATTTTGAATAATCAAGCTGGCCAGGCTATATAGATTCTCATAATATCTCTAAGTGTTTCTAGGGTTGTAATCGTGCTAACTTGAGCTTGCGATTATGTAGTGCATTGCGAGCGAGTTGTCTCTTCAAGAGAGTTGTCTTGCAGCGAAGTTGTAGGAGCATTGGATGACGCGCGATTGAGGAGCGTGCGGATTGAGGTTGCTCTGAGCCAGTTGTCTCCTCGTGGGAGTTGTCTCGCAGCGAGTCTTATTATCGAGCGAGGTGGTTGTACGTGGGAGTTGCCTTGCAACGGATTTGTAGTATCGAGCGAGTTGGCTCCTCGTGGGAGTTGTCTCGCTGCGGGTTGTGGTACCGAGCGAGTTGGCTCCTCATGGGAGTTGTCTCGCTACGGGTTCGTAGTACTGAGCGAGTTGGCTACTCGTGGGAGTTGCCTCGCTGCGGGTCGTAGGATGGAGCGAGTGGTCTCCTTGTAGGAGTTATCTCGCTGTGGGTTCGTAGACCCGATGGAGTTGACTCCTCGTGGGAGTTGCCTCGCAACGGGTTATATGACTGAGCAAGTTATCTCCTCGCGGGAGTTGTCTTGCTGCCGGTTGTAGTACCGAGCGAGTTGGCTCCTCGTGGGAGTTGTCTCGCTACGAGTTGTAGTATCGGGCGAGTTGGCACCTCGTGGAAGTTGTCTCGCTGCGAATTGTGGGACAAAGCGAGTGGTCTTCTCGTGGGAGTTATCTCGCTGTGGTTATGAGACCCGAGGGAGTTGGCTCCTCGTGGGAGTTATCTCACAACGGGTTATAAGACGGAGCGAGTGGTCTCCTCGTGGGAGTTATCTCGCTATGGTTTCGTAGACCCGAGGGAGTTGGCTCCTCGTGGGAGTTGTCTCGCTGCGGGTTATAGGACGGAGCGAGTGGTCTCCTCGTGAGAGTTATCTCGCGCGCTGTGGTTATGAGACCCGAGGGAGTCGGCTCCTCGTGGGAGTTATCTCACAACGGGTTATAAGACGGAGCGAGTGGTCTCCTCGTGGGAGTTATCTCGCTATGGTTTCGTAGACCCGAGGGAGTTGGCTCCTCGTGGGAGTTGTCTCGCTGCGGGTTGTAGGACGGAGCGAGTTATCTCCTCGTGGGAGTTGTCTCGCTAGGGGTTGTAGTTCCGAGCGAGTTGGCTCCTCGTGGGAGTTGTCTCGCTACGGATTCGTAATACCGATGGAGTTGACTCCTCATGGGAGTTGTCTCGCAACGAGTGTGTAGGGCCGAGCGAGTTTGCTCCTCGTGGGAGTTGTCTCGCGGCGGGTTTGTCTCGCAAGCCCCCCACTCTCGATTCGATGTGGGAGCCTAGTCGAAAAAGGTACCGGATCGTGTCGAGAGTAGATTGGTGCTATAGTGTACCGTTATTCGCTGGCGTGGTGTGGAGAAATAATAATTTTTATTTGTCCGTAAGAGAGCGTGCGCGATTTAGTGAGGCACGCTGGAGAACTCGCGCAATTTGGTGGAGCACGTTGAAAGTCTCGTGCGATTTGGTGAAGCGAGGTGAAATCCGCGCGCAATTTGGTAGAGAATAGCGGCAGTTGTGCGCGCTCCAAAGTAGGAGGCAGCGCGCTGTGAGAACGCGCGCGCATGGGGTCGCGCGTCTGGCACGTGTTTGCCACGCGCGCCGCCTTTTTTTTTTTTTTTTACTTTTTTTTTTCTTAATCTTCTTCACTTTCTTTCTTCTTCTTTTTTCTCTTCTTCTTTTTTCTTCTTCTCATTTTGGTTTTTTCTTCATTTTTTTTGTACCTCGGAAGCGTGCCCGATGCGTGCCTCGGGAAGCGTGCCACGGCCTCGGGAAGCGTGCCACGGCCTCAGGAATCGTGCACGCGCACCGCCTCGAGAATCGTGCCCATTTTTTGCCTTGGAAAGCGTGCTGCGCGCTGCTTCGGGAATCGTGCCACGTGCTGCCTCGGGGATTGTGCCCGATTTTTTTTTGCCTCGGGAATCGTGCGCGCGCACTACCTCGGGAATCGTGCACGTTTTTTTGCCTTGGGAAGCGTGATGCGCGCTGCCTCGGGAATCGTGCCACGTGCTGCCTCGGGAATTGTGCCCGATTTTTTTTCGCCTCGGAAAGCGTGCCCGATGCGCGCCTCGGGAATCGTAATCACGCCCTGCCTAGGAAATCGTGCCCGTTTTTTTTTTGCCTCGGGAAGCGTGACGCGCGCGCATCGGGAAGCGTGCCCGCGCGCTGCCTCGGGAAGTGTGCCTGCGCGCTACCTCGGGAAATCGTGCCGCGCGCGCCTCAGAGGGCGTGCCCGCGCGCTGCCTCGGGATTCGTGCCGTTTTTTTGCCTCGGGAAGCGTGTCGCGCGCGCCTCGGGAAGCGTGCCTGCGCGCTGCCTTGGGAATCGTGCATGTGGCTGCCTCGGGAATCGTGTCGCGCGCGCCTCGGGAAGCGTGACCGCGCGCGGCCTCGGGACTCGTGCCCGCGCGCTGCTTCGTGAATCGTGCCGCGCGCTGCCTCGGGAATCGTGCTCGTGGATGCCTCGTAAATCATGCCGCGCGCGCCTCGGGAAGCGTGCCCGCGCACTGCATCGAGAATCGTGCCCGCGGCTGCCTCGGGAATCGTGCCCGATTTTTTGTTTTGTTTTTTTCTTTTCTTGTTCTTGTATTTTTTCATCTTCTTTTTTCTTCTTTGTTCTTCTTCTTTTTTCTTCTATTTTTTCATCTTCTTCATTCTTTTTCTTTCTTCTTCTGTTTTTTCGTCTTCTTCTTTGATTTTTTTTCTTGGTGGTTGATGTTCACCCCTTGGAATGTTATATTTTTTGAGTAGGGAGATTATACTCGTCTCTTGAGTCGATAACCCTTGGCGAACGAAATGTTTTGGGGGCACTGTATACCCCCAGGGAGTCGATAACCCTTGGCGAGCGATATATTTTGGGGGCAGATTTAAGCCCCCAGGGAGTCGATAACCCTTGGCGAACGAAATATTTTGGGGGCAGATGTAAGCCCCCAGGGAGTCGATAACCCTTGGCGAACGAAATATTTTGGGGGCAGATGTAAGCCCCAAGGGAGTCGATAACCCTTGGCGAGTGAAATATTTTGGGGGCGGATGTAAGCCCCCAGAGAGTCGATGGCGGTGGTGCCATAGGTGGCTCCACATGTGGAGCAGGTGTTGGTATCGCGTTGGGAGCATTTGCTCCCATCGTGGCGATATATTGGGTCACGGCCTCTGTGGCAGCACGAGTTGAAGCTTGTGCCATCATGCGTTGGAACGCATTCTCGATTATTTGAACCATTCGAGGAGCAGGGAGTGGTGGATCGGCGAGTGGTTGGTCCCGATGGGGGATCATCTGAACCTCGCGAGGCGGATCCATGGGACGTGGAGGAGACGGCAAGCCAGAGCCTCCACGAGGTGGGAGGTCGTTAGTTGTGTCATCTTCTCTCCGAGCAGACGCCTCAGGCGGATCTTGTTGGCTACGTGATCTGGTTTGCATCGTTCCCACAGACGGCGCCAAAATGATGATGTTAATTACTTAGATCACCTGGGGTAGTGGAGAAAATGAACTGGGAGAGCAAAGCGGATCAGTAGCTTGACAACTTGATGATCCTGAGGTACCTGCGATCATAGAACACATGAACTAAGCCGGGGGTTGATCCGGCGGAAACCCCTCCGACGCTCAAGTCAGACGTGATGTGCTGATCATAGAAATAGTCCAGAGAATACAGTTAATAGTATTGCTCAGTTAATAGGACGTACCTTGAGGAATGAGTTCAAACATTTATTTATAGCTTAGATGAGATTGTTGGGCCCAAACATTATTTGAAGGTGATTGGGCCTCGGTGATAATAGTCTTAGATATTGGGCTCGTGGCCCAATAGGTAAAGAGATTGTAGGCCCATTGGGCTGGCCCAATTAGGCATATCAGTATTGATATTGGTATTGGTATTGATATTGGTATTGGTATTGGTATTGATATTAATAATTGTACTGATATTGGTATTGGTATTGGTATTGGTATTGATATTGGTATGCATTGGTACTAATATATTAGTATTAGTATTAGTATTAGTACATTATATATTAAGATTAATATTAGTATATTAGTATTAGTATTAGCATTAACATTTTGTATATTAATATTAGCATTAGCTAATTAATATTAGTAATAGTATTAGTAATAGCATTAGTATATTATGATTAGTATTAGTATTAGCATTAACATATTAGAATTAATATTAATATTAGGATTAGCATTATGATTAGAATTAGTATTAAGACCAACATTATGATTAGAATTATAATTAGAATTAGGATTTGCATAACCATACATTAGCATATAAAGATTGGTATTAAGATTACCGTTAGAATTAGCATATTTGCATTTCTATAAGGATTAGAATTATGATTCGTATTATTATTAGGATTAAGATTTTGATTAGAATTAGTATTAAGATTAAGACTAACATTATATTAGGATTATAATTTGAATTAGAACTATGATTGAAATTAGTATTAAAACTAACATTATGTTAGTATCAATTATATGACTATGTCATATTTCAAGAACCATGGAGGCTCACAACAAATCCATTTCTCTTCTTCAAGAAATAGTTTGTGATCGAACTTTTATGCCTCTACATTATTCCGAATATTTTCATGATTATTATTCCTAACTGAAACTCAAGTCTAAAGCACATTCAACATAATTCTACCTTGCGTATAATGAGTCAACAATTAAGATTACCATGTTACATGCAAGAAAGAAGAATTAGGACTGCGTTGAATAGATATAAATACCCACGACTTCATAAGAATATTCTTTCGGAGATGTACTGCTTCTATCGATGCAATAAGCAGACTAACCGAAAATGATTTAAAGCAGTTCATATATTCTCATACATATTCAAGTTAATAAAGAGAGATAATAACAGAAAAAAAATGTACAATATCTGAAAGAGCATACTGAAGCTTGGTTGTAGAACAGAATCCAAGGTCCTCATTGACTCCATAAGCAAAGCATATTTTTGGACCCAAATCGGGCTTCAACGACTTCTTCGGTGTTTTCGCTGGCATGTTGAGGTAGCCATCTTGATGCGTGTATAGCTTGAAAGGCAAGCATCTAATGAACTCCACAAAATGCCGAGGCAGCCGTTCTTGAAAGGATTCAGTTGGAGGCCAATCCTCCAACTTCAAAATTTTGGGCCGGCCTTCACTATCCAAGAGGCCTTCAGAGTACCCATTGAAAAATTGGTGCATGTTTATGGTTTCCTGCGTGTCGTAGTCACAAAATCAAATCATTACAACACCACATCTTTAAGTTAATGAAAACAAAAGTATATGTGCAGAATGCATAGGACTGACAGACCAAAACATACATAAGAATGACACTTAACATAGCGAATAAAAAGGGTAAAGGTGACGTATATATTGGTCCCAATTCAATTACATTGCAAAACAAACATCAAGAGCAAATCTATCAAAACATCTCTATTTTAGAAAACATATCGAGTACGAAGAATTGTCAGATATTTGCTTTATCCTATCCAAATTCGTGTTAGACACTTATTAACCCAACCAAAGTTTTGACATTTTGAAGGTTGACACAATATGAAGAGAATTTTGCACCGAAACTAAGGACGATAAGAGATTCGTATTTTTGTTACTTTGTCCTTCTTTTGAAAGATTACATGGGCCAATAGAATACTACAACCCTTTGCAGCAAGTGAATGCTTAAGAACATACAAAATACAACCTAGAAACAGTTACAAGAGCAGCAAGTGAATGCTCAAGAACATACAGAATACAACCTAGAAACAGTTACAAGAAATAAGACCATGACTAAGAAAACAAAATGAGGTATACGGTTAAAAGGATGTAAAATAAGCAAGGTCCAGTCACAAATTCCAAATTAAAACTTTTTGATTGATAGAGTAAAACATAATAGAGAAGTCGGCATACCTTGCACCAATTTACGCAATTCGTTACGCTGAATTCCAGAATGCGAGCGTCATTAGTCCTTCTAGATTTGCGGCAACCACGCCACATGACTAATGGCTCCCAACTAAACTCAGTCATCTTGCTGAGCACGTCAGGGACTATCACAGGCTCACCTTTATATAGGTGCCGTTGGAAGTGCTTTTGGTCAATGCTCACAACTGTGGGACAACGGAAATTACGGACTGCACTCCCTGAGCTTCTTTCTATTTTCATTCATAAATTTACAATATTGAAATAATAAAATTAAGTTTTGGCAAAGTTGCCGAATTTTTTATTATTACATATTCATTATTTACTTAATGGCTAGAAGGACAATTTGGGAAGAGAAAATGCCACATCATTTAAAGTCAAAATTATACCTATAAATTGTGTTACATTTGTAACTTTAAGGGGTAAGTGTTACCACCCTTATACTATAAGGGTGCAAACTGTATTTAGCCCTAAAAAAATTAAAAAACCAAGTCCATTTTATTATTTTCTTGGGAACTCGTACTCAAATTTTCGTGAAGAATGTCATTATAGATTCGAAAAGGGACATTATGAATTCTGACAATTGTAATAGTGGTCTCTCCAACCACATGTTAACTGGTTCATGAACTCCTCTAATGGCCGATCCACCTGCTGCTCATAAGATCTTCATTCAATAGAGGAGAGAGAATTTCCTTATGGCGGCGGAGGACGACGATGATGTAACATTCGGAGACTTCGCCTCCGCTTCATTCCAATCCAAATCGTTGGCCGACAACGAAGACGACGAATGGGGCGATTTTGTGAAATCCCCGCAGCAATCGAAGCCTTCCGGCACAAATTTCAATGGAGACCGTCAATCCGCATCACCCCCTTCGTGGGTGAAGCCCAGTGGCGCTTTGCCGCTCTCCATTTTTGGGGATCCCGAGGAAGAAGACAAGGAGGTACACAATTTCGGTATTTCTGTGGATGTCAATCAAGGGCAGAAAAGTACGATTGCTCTGGATCTCAATTCAAATTTAGTTAGCAACGACGCATCGAAGAATAATCGGAATCTTAATATTTCCGATCTGTTTAATCGTTATTTAGAGACCAAGCCTGAAAACGGGCACGGTCCCATTTCCACCGGCAGTGAAAATGGAGTTCATTCGAATGGCGCTGGATCAGCTGTTGTTACTGAGTTGAAAAATATTGATTTCAATGATAGGGTAGGTGTAATTGATGGCAGCCAGCTCACAAACACGATTGACAATGACGAGTTTAGTTTTAAGTCTTATGCGCCAGATCCTAATCAGAATGCCGATCCGTTTGGCGGCTGGACTCATGAATTTTCCGGATTTAGCTCGAATTCAAATACATCTCCTCATGTGCATACGTCAAGTTCAGATGTCGACATGAATGGGCAAATTCAACATTGGGATGGCTCTGCTACTGTTGCTGTTATTGATGATGATGATGATGATGATGATGATGATGATGATGATGATGAAGATGGTGATGATGATGACGGATGGGAATTTAAGGATGCATCTTCGGAATTCCGGACTGAAGAAGTGAATAATAAAGTAAGGAATCATTCTCATTGTTTAAGATTATATTTTAGCTTTTTGGAACTATTTTTATAGGTTTCTTAGTTATATATTGGTTTATGATTTATCAAGATCGCAAATATGACGGACGAAAGGTCAGGAGTTAGTGTCGCACTATTGATATGATCTTGACTTCTGACGTTGATTGTACAGTTACTAACTGTCTGTAGAAAATCTGTTTACTTGCACCAGCCTAAAAATATAAAATTTACATTTTTGAAGTTACTTTTTTTGGTCTTTCACATTTGCTTGTTGAACGTGATGAAATTTAACTGAAGGTTAACTTAATGGAGCATGAAGTTTCTGAAAGTAGTGCGCACTCATTTGGGATCGGAAGCAGCTTAAACAATTCGCTTGATTTGTTTGGGACTTCAAATGGCAGTTTGTTTGCTATGCCAGATGAACCCGTTGATTATTTTGCTACCCCAAGTGGTATTTCTGGCGCTTCAGGAGAGATCGATTTTGTTGGTATTCAGCCAAGTGTAGCAAATCTAAATGGTTTTGCTTCAGAGACGAACTCAGTTATTGAGCAAAATAACGTTAAAAGTTTGTTAAACAGTAATACAGATGTCGGAAGTGCTGAATATGATGCAGATGAAAATTTTGGAGATTTTACAGTGGCTTCTGCAGTAGCTGGACCAAAGCAAGAGGTAAATTGCTTTACATACCACTTGTTATGGTTATTCTTACTCTTGCAGTAAAAGTTGCACATGGTAAAGTTTCTGTGCTTATTTCAGGAAGTGTCGACCAATGGCTTTCATTTTCCTTCTAAAGATGTAGTATCAACATTGGATGACAAAATTCAGGTGAAGCAATTTTTTGTTCTTTTTCATTTGATAGACCTTTCTACTGCTGATTGCATTCTATCTGTTGTCCCCTTTCATAGCTACCTATATTAGTGACAGGAAACAAGGCAGTCCTTATAAATTGAATCTTATGACTTTTGACCTTTAGTATGGACAAGTAGAGGGGTTATTTGTAGATATCGATGTCTAGAAGAGTGACCATGTTTCATGATATTTATTTTCATATTGCTCCATGTTTACCTTTTCCTTCTCACAAACTGATGTGATTCCATTTGCATTATTGCCTCCTAACTGTTCAAACCGTGGTTACATATATATACATGTTATTTATGTTTCGGTCCATTTATCTTATGTCATTTTAATGTGTATGCCCATTTATCTTATATGTTCACTTCCTTCATCTGTCCATCGTCTTCATCCAGCTATATTTTTGGAGTTCAGTCACGTCAAGTTGGCTCTTTGTTGATTCATCTTTTGACAAAAAAATAACATATTTTTAAATTAGCTTTCTTTAATACGTTACTCAGTATCACACTCTAAGTTGAGAAAAATAATTTTGATCTGCCAAGGAAGCTGTTGCATTTTGTACTAAGAAAGTTAATCCCCTTATTTAGCTGCAAAGTTTTATCTTTTTCCCCTTTTTCTTTTGTTTTACTTACATTGATTTTTCACCTTATAGGAGAAGGATACAAACTTAAATTATCACAAAGGCGCAATTCCGCTCTCTATTTTTGGCAATGAAGAGCCAGAAAGTGGTGATTCTTCAGATATTCAAGATCTGTTTATGCACCAGTCTACTTCGGATCAAAGAAATAGTCATACTCCTACCTCAGTCATTTCTATCAATGATCTGATATCAAGTTTATACAGCCAAACTGAGCAGACATCTATCGTAAATACTGTCCAAAACCCAACCGAAACTCAGTTGGGCCTATCCAGTGCAGCTTCTGATTCCAATATAGAAGATGACGAAGATCTTGATGATGATTCATGGGATTTTAAGGATGCCTCACAAACCATAGTTGACAGTGCGGCATCTAATAGTAGTATCGGAGATACATATATGAGCATATCCTCGAAATTGAAGCTGAACAATTATTTGGATTTCTATTCTAAATTAAAGGAAGAGTTATGCTTTGTAGCTCAATTTCATATTGAAAGCTTAAAGGTATGTATCACTGGGAAGGCAGTTTCTCAATCTTGTTCTAATTGTTATTAAGTATCTGAGGAGTGTTGTCATAACAACTTACATTTTAACATGCTTGCCATAATATGCTCCATTTTATTAGCAAGCTCGAGCGGATGCTACAATATCTGGTGAAGGTGAAGGAGCTGCATCAACCGATAGTGAATTGCAGGTGAATCATCTCTTAGTCCTTTTGCATGACAGTTCATGAGTTCTATATTTTTTTCCCGAAATTAAATTGAATAAGACTATTTTGCCTACATCTATGGTTCTGAAACTCTAGTATTCTCGCTTTTTGAACTATTAGTAAATATTGATTGGGTTAGGAATTAGGATATGTAAGATGGCATTGGTTGTACTATATTCAACTTCCTCAGTTTCAAGAAACACAAAGATATGAAGCAAGCTTCGCATTTCGAATGTATTCGCTTTTACAATCTAACACTGTTCAAGTTTGACGATGGTAGTATTCTCGAACTATTTGGTCTGTGTATTGTGATTGCAAAAACTAGCTTCTCTGAGGGTTATCTTTTAACTGCATGAAGCTTATTAATTTCTTTTTCCGATTCAAAATTTTCTAGCCTGTTTAAGGTTTTACTGCAATCTAAATGTAATTTGGAGTATTATTTGGAAAAATAAGATCAAAGTCTTTTTTCCCCAAAAAATGTCAAAAGTTTTGAGGGAATGGTTGGAGAAGTTTTCAATTGAAATCAGTGTCATATGTGATCCACATCATGCTTCAAACCAAATCTCAGTGAGATTATTCCACCATCCAAGAACCTCACTGGAAGGTCAAAGCACTAGTTGTGAAGTTCTTTCTTTTTGCTGGATTAATCCTCTATAGAAACTTATTTGACCTGGAAAGGAAACATCAATATGAAGGATGAATCCGGAAGAAGAAACCAATTTGTTGCAGAGGGTGAACCATGTTATGTAATTGCTGATAGACGAAAGATCAGTGTTTAAAAAATTTAACCAAGTTTTCAGATGAAGATTTTTTCATTCAGTTTCTTTTATTCACATTGGTATTTTGCGCTTATTTTCACTAGTCTGTGTTCACTATATCAAAGCATTTTGTTAAAGGTGGAAAGAGATATTTCTTAAATATCACAAATAGTATACTTTTTGTGTTTGATTTTCCATAAATAGTTAATAATTTTTCTAAAGGTACATTTCTCATATATTTTCATGCTAAGGTATTAGCTATGAAATTATTTATGCGTACATGTTTGATCAAAGCGTCACCAAATTTTATTTATTCATTTGGAAGTGATGCTAAGTAAATGAGGTGTGCGTTTCTTGTTGTAAAATTTCTAATTTTATTCAGTACTTCAGAAGGAACATTTAATTGAGTACTTGATTGTGCTTGTCTCTAGCAAGTTCATATTGATCAATTAATATCTGAATATCCTCGATCTTTTGTAGTTGGTCTGCAAGGAACTTGAAGAAATGAACATCCTTTTTGAAGATAGTAATCTCCAGGATCACCCTTCAGGAGATAGTCATCTCAATCAATTTGTTCAAGTTTTGTTGGAGCCACAGTTTCAAATACTTGATTCAGAATATCACTTATCGGGAAACTTGTTACGAGTGCGTACATTGTGCCTTCAACTTTCACCTGATAGCTATGCCCTTTATACTACTGAATGTTTTAACTGTTTGAAATTTGCTTTATGGATATTTTTCCAGAATTTTATCTGCACATGGCTTGTGGCGGATTTTTTATTTTTTTTATTTTTATTTATATCCCAAATCTCAGTTGTTTTTGGATGAATCAAACACTGCCACTTGTGTTTGAGTTGAGAATTGCCTGACTGGAATTTTCCTTTTTCTGTTATGTTGCTTTCTGTGTGTGCAATGGTGGTTGTTTGCTGCTTATGATGTTTTATCTTGATGGGCAACAGGTAAAGAAGGATCTGAGATCAGCTATGGAACTTTTAAGACACACAACAACAATGCTTAAGATTTTGAACGTGGGAACAACGGAGGAACAAATGGCATATATTTCCATATGGTCTGAGATAATTTCTGCATGTACGCAAGAGTTAAAACATGGTGCCTCAATCTGGAATCAAGCAGTAGAGAAGCATCTTCAAACTCAGTTACTATCTGAACCTCAAGGTACAGTTCAAAAGTACTCGGTGATCATTTTGAGGGGAACCACTACACTGATATCTTCAGTAACATAATATTTTTGGTAAATAACAGCAGATTATGAATTTGGTCAAGAACATAAGAAGATGAAGAGGACATTATTTTACGCCTCAACGTTTTTTATAGTCACAATTTTAATTCTTCTAAAATTAGAAAAAAATGATTACAGGGAGGAAGTTCTTTTTAGCCCTTGGGGAGATCTACAAGGTGGTTGTGGTTCTTGGAGCTTCAGCCAAACTTTTCAAGCCCTGGACTTTATCAGTTTCTGTTGATTCGCCGCCAGCTATCTATATTCTTCTAGAAGAATGTCATGCTGTATGGTCAAGTTCAGGAATTGAAGAAGCTTTTTCAAGTGCTTTGGATAATTCATCATTATTGAAGTCCATCAAGCACATCCTCGATCTTGATGCACTTACACTTGAGAACTATTTATTTGCCGAAAAGGAATCTAGGTGTTGGCTGTCAATACTAACGGCAGAAGCTGTACCAGGTACTCAAATTCAAATCACATATCAATTAAAAGAATGTTTTTAAATATTCAAAAGAAGTCACCAATTATGAATTGAAGTTTGTCTTATAAATATCTTTCAATTATGTTTCTTTACCTCATGATTTATATATTCTTAACATTTCTAAAACCAGATATGAAGATGATTACATGGGGAAACCAGCAATGCTTTGTCACACTTGCAAATCTGTGGGCAAATCTAATAAGCCGCAATCCTCCGGAATTGGCGCAGTTAAACCTTGGCTGATAAGGATGAATGAGTGGTAAATCGAATATCATTGGTCTTAATCTAGAATGCCTTTTTCTAGATCTGTGCTTTGGCTATCCAACAAAGAGCAATGGACCTGGCTTTGTACTGCGCTTACTTCTTTCACCATGAGACAAATATGTTAATATATATTGGAGGAAATATCTGTTTGCCCGTCTCATTGGATTGCATTGAGTTGATCAAACCACGGAATCAAGATTTGAGTTTCTGAGCTCTGGGGTTTATCAAGAAAAAAAGTTGTGTTCTTTCTTCAAATTTTCATAGCTATTGGTGTCAGTTCGAAGTTTTCGTTTGTTAGGCATTCTCTTCGATAGATTTTATAGTATTAAGAATATAGTGTTCTTTTTTTTCCTTTTGTTTTACCAATGTATAGAATCTCTGTATGAACAGAGTTGTTCTGGGTGAATTCGCTCAACATTTTGTGCCATAATGCAAAATATTTAGGGTAAATGGAAATCCCGGGTTGTGTTACTTAATGGTTTTGTACTAGTAAAGCAGGATAGTTGTGTTATGTCATTCGTGAATACAATGTTTAGTGTGATTATTTATGTTTTTCAGTGTGTTGCTTCCTATCTCTCCTCTCACTGTACATGGAATTCAGCAAATGTATAAAGGGTAATAATATACGCAGACCAAATTAAACATTCAGGCATTTTTTTACCATGATTTTTTACCTTTTTACCATAACTATTTACCTTTTGTACTATTCCTACCCAATCCTATAAAATATAAAACTCAACATTCAAAGTGAAAAAATTCAGATATTCAACAATTTTTGCGATGGATCCAAACAACTTAGACCCGGATGTAAGTTTTTCGTTTTTTCCCACAACCTTATCTGCTCGTGTGAATTTACGCGAGCACTTGGCAAGTGCTCGTGTAAATTCACACGAGGAGATGATTTTTTTTTTATTCATGTGCTCGTGT